AAATGGTATGTATGTACATGCTTGTACTGGCTGGTCATTTGGGGTTCTAATATTTAGGTTAAGTTTGGCAAATACTGACTATCAACTCTTCGCTCATTTTACCTTTTAGAAGAAAGATTTAGTTAGTTTTATTGCTAGCTCTAGACCTCCGCTTCTCTTAATCTTTATTTTCTTTTACATTTGCTTGAAGTCTTGAAGGCCAATTCGGGAAACTATTTGATAGCATTGTTAGTATTTAATTGTATCTTGGTTTTATAGGTGTTGGCAGAAAAGAAGAATGCTACAGGCAAGGAAAATGTAGATAATAGGAAGACTTCCTCGAAGAAAGAGCGGCGAACAGCACCACTTTCAAGACCCATCATTTGCATATGTAATGACTTATATGCACCAGCTCTTAGACCTCTGCGACAAATAGCGAAGTAAGTTTGACTTCGTGTGCACTTTGAGCGTCTCTTTTTCCTGTTTGTTTGGTGATACTAGCATTATTTTACGTAGAGCGTACTTATTTATTGCCTTTGACACGTATTGAGAATATCTGCCTATCAAATGCTCATTCTCGATAAACCTTCGCCTCTTATTATGATGATAAGCTCATGTGCTTCTCTTGCAGGGTTCATATATTTGTTCAACCAACAGTCAGTCGTGTGGTTAATAGGTAACTATATTCTTACTTTGTTGTGCGTGAGAAGAGTTCTTTTTGGTCCAAAGTCTGTAAACTTATATGTGATTGAATATGTAATAATAAGTTGCATTAGAATCAGTGAACTATATTCAAAAATTAATTTTAGTATTTTTCTCTCCGTCTTTATTTAACTAGCAATTTCTTTACGAGGCTGAAATGTGCAAATGACAGGCTCAAGTATATATGTAATATGGAGGGGATGAAAACCAGATCATTCGGTCTTAGTGCACTTGCGGATTACACTGGTAACTTTCTCCCTTTCCGTGTATGCTCCTTGTGTTCACTTTATTTGGTTCTCAATACATTGCTGACGAGTTTGATCTTATAATCTCTTTGATTATTTAGAGAAGACTTCCTAAATGATTTTGGTATATTTTTTCTTTTCTGGTGGTTACAGAATGCGACATACGCTCTTGCTTGAACACTCTGCAGTTTCTCAACAAGAAGAATGAAACCCTCAACGTGGTGAGTCATGAGCTTCTTGCCGGCTGAGTGTCTATCCATTCTCAAATTGATTTAGCAAAACTCCAGAAATTCTTCCTTTGCAGAAAGCTTTGACTCACTGAAAAATCTAAATTATTGCTTCTTTCTTTTCTTTTAGATCGACATTGGTTCTCAAGTTGTTGGGCGAAAAGATATGTCAAAGAGCCTATTTGATATCTGGAAAGAGGTAATGAAAGCACAATGAAGTGTTGTAGATTGCTTTACTTACAGATCCCTTTCATATTATATCCAACCTTGTTTCTTCTTTTCAGATATTCAACAAGAGAAAAATGAAACGAGAACGATCTAACGACGCTTCTGGCAGTGAAGCCAAAAAATTTGATTTCTTACACTCCCTCGTATCCAGTCGGTACGTAGAAGATAATGATTTCCTCGCATCCTTTACTCCTTTATGTTTAAGTATTTAACTGAATGTGCAGGGGTGATTATGATTTGATTTTCGATGGAATACATGAAAACATTTTGCAGCTTCAGTACCATGATCCGGCTATGGACAAAACAGTATGGCCTACTCTCTAATTAATAATTTCCAGTGAACTCTGATTGTTTGTTCTGTATGTTTTGCGGTCATGTTATGAAGTATTCTTATGTACAATCCTTTTGATTAAAGGTTAGCTGCTTAGACTGTCTTGGAACTTCTGATCTGCTGCACAGATATATTATGCGCACCCAGCAAATGCATCTCTACGGTAAAGCTTTTAAAGCACAGATGATTATTAAGTCCTCTAAATAATACTGCTTGTTTTTTTTTTTTACCTTGTGATGCAGTTTATATTCCTAGCCTGGTGATACCTATACACCGTCGAGTAGCCCAGATCCAAAGACCAACTATTCAGTGGCCTAAGTCTTACCACAGGTGATCGTAGTGTCATCTATATTTAGTTAAGATAAGCATTTCAAGCGTCTATGCTTATTCTCAATATGAAATCTACCAGATGCCGAACGCTTTTAGTGGAAAAGCAGGAGTCCCTGCGGTCTTGGCACCACAAGATACCTCCCTATATTGGGAGGCATTTGTCAGTCAAGTCTTTCGTAGAAGACTCTATTTCCCCGCTATTGCATATTCTTTCTCCCCCAACTCTTAGACCGGTATGTATTCATTTGTCCCACTGATCCTTTCCGGGTTTACTCCAATGTCCTTTACACATATCCTACTGCTCTTCCAAGGATAACATCTTTATACGCTACTCAGGTGGCATCACATCTGCTATCAGAGAGGCAAAAGGATCAGCTGGCGAGTTTGGTCATGCTTATGCATTCGTATTCTTTGACGTATAAGAATGTGAAACTTGATCCTGCTCTGAGTAACCTCAGGGAGAGTGTTGCGTCTGATACTTCAGTTCTTGCTTTAGATCCACACCTATTTGATTGCATCAGTTTCAAGGTCTTGCTTCTGCTTCTTTCGTCTTAGCATCTGAGTATCTGACCACTATATTTTGGCTTTGGGGATAATACTAATCGTCTTTCCAACTTTTGACAGGGACGTCAAATTAAGCATCACGTACTCACATTAGCAATGAAACAAGTGTTAGTACATGAAGTAAGTCTCAAATCTTCTTCGCTGAAATTCGTTTTGAATTGTGCCTTTAGCTGCATGAAGATCTAGATTGTCGGGTTTTTTAATTAAATGTTTAAAATATCAGGTTGAGAAGCAAAAGATACTGCAAGCAAGTGGAGGAAGGTCGGGGATCTTGAGCACACCCGAAATCAAGAAGATAAGTCCAGACTCAGTCAGGAAAACTATAGCTGCGTCAAATGAGAGTCACAGGAATCCAGTTACCTCAAAACCTCCATCAATCTCAGTTGAAAACGCCCCAACTCCAAAACCCAAATCTGGTGATGTGAAAAAAGCATCACGCAACGCCGTTAATTTCTTCGACAGGTACTTGGGAGGATAATTTTTCTTAGCTTGGAACTTGTTTACATTTCATGATTGATCACTTTTAATGTCATGATGATCATATACTAATTGCGTGGTTTGTCTTTGTAAATACAGGTTTAGGAAGTCAAGGAAAGATTATGAAGATCCAGAGGATGTACAAAAGCGAGCAACTGCAAAAAGAGATTCACGCCCTCTTCTCTTCAAGTTCAACGAGGTAATGTCATAACCCCAAACTATGCTGCAAACAAAACCAAAACCTCCACAAAAAGGATCTCTAAGACAACCTCATGGAAACAGACTTTAGGCGTAATCAAAATATTCCGGATTGTATTATTTCAACTGATGTGTGTATATATATATATATTGCAATTATAGGGTTTCACGAATGCTGTGAAGAGACCGGTTAGAATGCGGGAGTTTCTACTATGATTCTCCAATGGAGGAAGTGTCTTATTAAACTGGTGCAAAACTAAGCTTTTAGTTACTCTTCCGACCAAAATGGGTCAAGTTTGGATATAAATTGAGCTGTCAAGATGTGAGACGTGGAAGAAGGCAAAGGAGTAAGTCCCTTCTCTCGTTTTCAAAAGCAGAGTAAGAAGACAACAGGAGCTAAATTACATCACTTGTGGTTTTTAAGTTTTAGTAGGCTCACGTTCTTTGTGTTTGATCATGCTTTTCCTTTTTTAAAACCCTGAGAATGTTTACTGTTATTATGATACCATATACTGAAAGAAAGTAGTCCGTTCAAGGTGTAAAATTCCAAAGTGAGTACATTAAACCCCTGTAGTCATAAGAAAAAAGATTATCCTTTTTCTAATTTGCAATGTCAGTAGAAGATAGTGACAATTCATGATGCGTGAAGCCAAAAAAAAGGATGGGGTGAGAGAGGCTCGAACTCTCGACCTCAGGATCACTCAATAGCTATGAGACCTACGCGCTAGCCAACTGCGCCACCACCCCACTTTGGTATATCTTAATCTCCACAAATCCTCACTCGTCCTTGAGCTATGTAGGGGTGGGCGCAAGGCGAATACTTGCTATTTTACATGTACTCGCGACTTGACTTGCCTTGTACGAATAATAAAATTTTCGACTTGTACTTGACTTGTTTAAAACGAGTACTTACTATTTCGAGTACTTCATGAAAAATAAACGACTTGCAAGTTACTTGCCTTGCTCTATTACTTACTATTTACGAGTACTTGTGCACTATTTACGAGCTTTTTCGGAATATTTAAGAACTACTAACTAAATAACATTCTGTTAGAAATAGACATGAAAATTTGTTTTGTTTATTTTACTTAAAGTAATATGAAATTACTTTAAATAGAATATTTGTTCATATTATAAAAAGATAAATAAAAAATATATATTATGGTATATAAACATTGTATAATGATCACGATAACAAGAATATCTTTTCTAGATAAGTAACAAGTAATAACAAATCATATTACTAAATTTTTAATATTTGTTGATGTGTAATACTTGACTAGATAACGACAGAGTATTCAAAGATCAAGATTGGATACAAAATAAGTAACAAATATAAGAAGAGTAGTGTGTATTTATGTCTAGTCCTAAATGCAAGTAAAAGAAAAGACAAATATGAAAAACTAATTAATAGATTATGTAACAAATAGCGAGTAATGGAACAAGTAGCGGGGCGGAACGAGTCAAATACAAAATATAATAATGATACTTGATATTTGACTTAGTCTTGCAAGTAATGAAAATTGTCGTCTTGTTACTTGCCTTGACAACACCGAGTACTTGAATTTTTAAGGCGGATACGAGTCAAATACCGAGTTTAAGGCGAGTAACGAGTAATGATGCCCAACCCTAGAGCTATGTAACAAGATTTGTTAGTTTAACTTGTACTGACCCAGACAATTACATTTTTGATTAACGAATAAATCATAACCTTTTCTATCGAACAATATCTTCAAGTATGATTTTATTAATATGATTCAATTTATTTTACATGTTAAAGACACGATTATTCATAATAATGTTTATTTGTAATAGCTATATTACTAGCTGCTAGTGACTTGTGTTGTTTGTTAAAGTCTCTAGCGATGTTCCTTGGTCAAAGAGACCTATTATTATTCCACTTTCCGGACGTTGCTGAGCTCATCCACGCTGTCTCCTCTCTCAAACACTCCGGCTGCTCCCATTCCCGACCCTTCACGGTTTCTCAACCATACCACAACGAGAGTAAGAGATTGATAAATTGATATTAGTTAAGTGAGAATAAACATACCTATGCACATTGACACAACTCCAAAACGGCAGTCTTTACCACGACGTTTCATCTCGTGCAGCAGCGTTGCAACGCATCTGGCGCCTGAGGAAAGTGTTAGCAGTGCCCTGTTTGATCAAATGAACTCACTAATCATATGGGGACAGTGGAGGAAACATACCTGTAGCGCCTAACGGATGTCCAATGGCTATAGCCCCTCCATTGACATTGATCTTCTCCGGGTCTAGCCCCAGCTTGTTCCGACAGTAAACAAATTGAGATGCAAATGCCTAAAACAAAACACTGTAGCTTTTTAGACACAGGACATAATGGCGCTATAAAAAGAAGAGTTGTTCAATGATACTTAACCTCGTTGATCTCAAACAAGTCGATGTCATCGAGTTCTAAACCAGCTGCCTTGACTGCAGCAGGAATAGCAGCAGCTGGCCCAATTCCCATAACCGATGGGTCCACACCAACTGCAGCAAATGTCCTGCAATGTGTCCAAGACTGCTTTAGTTTTTACTCTAATGAATCAAAGAAAGGTCAGTCTAAAGAATCAAAATTACCTGAATACACCAAGAATGGGAAGCCCTTTCTGCATTGCGACACTCCTCTTCATGAGGAGAACTGCTCCTGCACCATCACTTACTTGGCTAGAATTCCCTGTTCAACACAAGCGAAGCACTGAGTTCACAAACAAAACAAACAAATTTCTCTGCGATGTGAATATAGTACCAGCAGTTGTGGATCCGTCTTTCTTAAACACGGGCTTTAGCTTTGCAAGGCCGGAAAGGGTTGTGCTAGGTCGAATCCCATCATCCACAGTAACTGTTATGGGTTTCTCCTCACCTGTCTTTGGGTCAACAATCTGAAATGTTAAAACCTTAAGCCATTAACATGGGGAAAAGAGCACTTGAGGCATCATGTTGTCCTCAGGATGCAAAACAGAAGCTACCCTGGTGTTAACGGGGGTTATTTCATCCTTGAATTTACCGGAAGCAGTAGCAGAAGCGGCCTTTCTGTGAGAATCAACCTACACATTTAGCTCCATAAACTAAGGCTGGCATGTAACATCCAAGTATATGCATTAGAAGTAGTTAGAGAAAGTTTATTAGAGTTTACAGCAGCTTGATCCTGCTCCTCTCTTGAGACACCAAACCGGTGTGCTACATTCTCTGAAGTAATACCCATTGGAAGAAGGCAACTTTGTGCTTGTTCAAACTTCTTCACCTGCAACAACAGAATAGATTCCAAGGGGGCTTAAATAACAACAGAGACATCCACAAAGGAGGGAAAGAGACAACAACTACAAGAACATGGTACCTTTGGATTGACTGATCCTTTCCATCCCCTTGGACTGGTTGTCATGGACTCCAGCCCAGCCCCAATGCCTGTATCCAACGTATTGTGAGCTCAATTCTTCATGCCAACCAAAGGACAGTTACTTCTCTTACCAATGTCATAAAACCCAGCTTTGATGGCAGCAGCAACGTCTGCAACAGCCTGAAGCCCGGATGAACACTGTCTATTCACGGTTCTGATGGGAACAGTATCTTCCAACAAAGAACATAAGAGCATAAGCATAAACTAATAAAAATTACCAAAATAAACAAGAAAATCTCACCGGGGAAACCAGCATAAAAGGCAGCCATCCTGAACTCAGTGGCTTTCTGAGATCCTGATCCCAAAACATTACCAACTACAATGTCACCAACTTCACTTGGGTCTAACTTTGTTTTCTCTATCACCGCCTGCCAACAAGAAGGCATGACATTAGAAAAAGAGAAAGGCAGCAAACAGAACAGAATTAAAGAAATACTAAACATACTCTCAGCACAGGTGCAAGAAGCTCGTCTGGATACGTATCCTTGAAGCTTCCACGTTTTGCCTTGCAAAGTGCTGTCCTTTGTGCCCTGTTAGAGTTTCCATCATCACAAATAGTCTTATAAAAATTGATTTATTTTGATAAGTAGAATAAAAAAGGAGAAAGAGATGGAAACGTAACGCAACGATGACAACATCATCTCCATATAGAGAGGTCCTCTGATACGCAGCACTGTCTCCCGCTAAGCAAGCTGAGGCCTTTCGAGAAGGCAACAACACATTAAAAGATAACGTTCGTAAATCAAAAGACAAAACAAATATTAACAATTTGAAATAGAATTTAAAAACAAAATCATGAAAATTAGCGATCGGTGGAGCTTACAGAGAGAGAAGCATGTGAAGAAGAAGACGGGGGAAGAGGTTGAAGATGATGAAGCAGTACTCTTTGTCTCTCGATCGCCTTCTCCATTTTTCGCTTTAGTTCTTCTGTTACTAAGCTAATTACAAAACTATAAATCTAATCAAAACCGTTATAATCAAACAAAATGTTAATATGTCCGGTTAATATTTGGTTTATTCCGGTTCAGTATTTAGCTGGTTCTTACTCTTCGAACGACGTCGTCTTGCGTCTAGGGTTTTAGGTTCTTCTTACATATTTAGCCTCTCCTCACAGACACAAAAAAACTCTCGTCCGTCATTTTTTCGACGGGTTGTTTCTCTTCTCTACCTTCCACCTCCGGTTTCTCGTCGTAAGTTTCCTCTCCTCTACTTACCTTGTTTTATTGTTTCTTATGGGTTTTGGTTTCAATTATTATCTCCCTAGTTAGTTCTTTACTTAATCAAAGCTTTTAACTTGTTTGCTTTATGATGAAGCTTGTGACTTGTTATGTCTAATATACAGTTTATTACAAAACTATATTGGATTTGCTGTTCTTTTGTTCAGTTTTATTACAAAACTATATTCACTTTTTTTTTTTTTTGTTCGCGGTTCAGTTTCATTACAAAACTATATTGATTTTTTTTGCTGTTCTTTTTTTCAATTTTGTTACAAAACTATAATGATTTGTTTGCTGTTCCTAGTTCAGTTCTATTACAAAAGTATAATGATTTGTTTGCTGTTCTTAGTTCAGTTTTATTACAAAACTATAATGATTTGTTTGCTGTTCTTGGTTCTGTAATCTTCTCCTTAACTTAAGAGTTGATGTTTTGATTTATATGTGCAGATTGATAAGCAAAAATGGTGCAATATAATTTCAAGAAGATCACTGTTGTTCCCAATGGGAAAGACTTCATCGACATCATCCTTTCAAGGACTCAGCGTCAGACGCCAACCGTTGTCCACAAGGGTTACAAGATCAACCGTCTGCGTCAGTTCTACATGAGGAAAGTTAAGTACACTCAGACCAACTTCCATGAGAAGCTTTCCACCATCATCGAAGAGTTTCCTCGCCTCGATCAAATCCATCCTTTCTACGGAGATCTTCTTCACGTCCTCTACAACAAAGATCACTACAAGCTCGCCCTGGGGCAAGTGAACACCGCTAGAAACTTGATCAGCAAGATTGCTAAAGATTATGTGAAGCTGCTTAAGTATGGTGATTCTTTGTACCGGTGCAAGTGTTTGAAAGTGGCTGCTCTTGGTCGTATGTGTACTGTTTTGAAGAGGATTACTCCTAGTTTGGCTTATCTTGAGCAGATTAGGCAGCACATGGCGAGGCTTCCTTCTATTGACCCCAACACGAGGACTGTGTTGATTTGTGGGTACCCTAATGTGGGAAAGAGTTCTTTCATGAACAAAGTTACTAGAGCTGATGTTGATGTCCAGCCTTATGCTTTCACTACCAAGTCTCTCTTTGTTGGTCATACTGATTACAAGTACTTGAGGTATCAGGTTATTGATACCCCTGGGATTTTGGACAGGCCGTTTGAAGACAGGAACATCATTGAGATGTGCAGTATCACTGCCTTGGCTCATCTTAGAGCTGCTGTTTTGTTTTTTCTGGACATTTCAGGGTCATGTGGTTACACTATTGCTCAGCAGGCTGCTCTTTTCCACAGCATCAAGTCTTTGTTTTTGAACAAGCCTTTGGTGATTGTGTGCAACAAAACTGATCTGATGCCTATGGAGAACTTATCTGAAGATGATAAGAAACTGATTGAAGAGATGAAGGCTGAGGCTATGAAGACTGCCATGGGAGCAAGTGAAGAAGCGGTGCTGTTGAAGATGAGTACTCTGACGGAAGAGGGTGTGATGTCTGTGAAGAATGCTGCATGTGAGAGGCTGTTGGATCAGAGGGTTGAGGCCAAGATGAAATCCAAGAAGATCAATGACCACTTGAACAGGTTCCATGTGGCAATGCCTAAGCCTCGTGATAATATTGAGAGGCCCGCTTGTATCCCTCAGGTGGTTCTGGAGGCTAAAGCCAAGGAAGCTGCTGCAATGGAGAAGCGAAAGACTGAGAAAGATTTGGAAGAGGAGAACGGTGGAGCTGGAGTTTATTCCGCTAGCTTGAAGAAGCACTACATCTTGGAACATGATGAGTGGAAGGAGGACATTATACCCGAGATTCTCGATGGTCATAACGTTGCTGACTTCCTTGATCCAGACATTTTGTTGAGGCTTGAGGAGTTGGAGCGTGAAGAAGCAACCAGGCAGGCTAATGCTGAAGAAGATGATTTCGAGATGGACGGTGACGAGCTTACGGATGAGCAGAAGCAGCAGCTTGCTGAGATTAGGAAGAAGAAAGCTGTGATCATTCGTGAGCATAGGCTCAAGAAGACCGTTGCTCAGAACAGATCAACGATTCCTAGGAAGTTTGACAAGGACAATAAGTACACAACTAAGAGAATGGGTAGGGAGCTGTCTTCTCTGGGACTTGATCCGTCTTCTGCAGTGGACCGTGCAAGAAGCAAGTCGAGAGGGAGGAAGAGAGATCGGTCAGAAGATGGAGGTAACGATGCGATGGATGTGGATGATGATCAACAGTCGAACAAGAAGATGCGCGTGAGATCAAAATCAAGGTCTATGTCGATATCGAGATCACAGTCAAGGCCACCTGCACATGAAGTTGTGCCTGGTGAAGGGTTCAAAGACTCTACTCAGAAGAAAGCAGCTCTTAAGATTAGCAACAGCTCTCACAAGAAGAGAGACAAGAATGCACGTCGTGGTGAAGCTGATAGAGTTATACCAACTCTGAGGCCGAAACATTTGTTCTCAGGGAAGAGGGGTAAAGGAAAAACAGACAGGCGTTGATGAAACCAAACCAGGTAACTCTTAACAAGTTTCTTTTCTCTGTTATTTTTGCAACAAACCTTTACTTGTTTTGGTTCTGTTTCCACAATTGTGTGACGATAATTGTTTGCAATCTTGACGTTAATGTGTTATTTGTTGTATTCTTACAGGGAAAACGGATGATGGATGGATTGAACAACATGTCTCAAGTTTTGGATTATGCTTTACTTTTTGTTTACTATTATTATTATGTTATGCATCTTTTGTGGTTTTTCTACAGACTTTATATGAAACATTGTAGCTTCTTCTGCAACCATTGTGTTTTGAGAACTAAGAACCGTTTTAATGGATTTATTTTAATTAAATTTTGCAAGGCGTCTTTTGATTGCAATGTGGTATGTTATATATTGGTGTTTGTTTCTGAGGATAGTAGCAAGTTGAGGACCATATTGGTGAACAGTGTAATTTAAATATTGGTGTTTGTTTCTGTCATATGACATTGCAGCTACAAGAGCCAAATATTAAGTTTCACAAACAATACAAGACCGTTTTAAATGATACAAACAACAAAACTAACAAAACACACATATAACGTACTCTTCTGCCTCTCGAGTCATAAAATGCATGAGAACAACACAAAGATAATATCCCAGAGCTCCAAATGAGCTCCTTTTTTTTTACCTGCAACACTCTTTTTGAAACCGTTCCAATAGGGAAAGAGAGATCTCAGGATCTGTTTTTTAACGGTATGATTCAGGACGTTTAGGTTTGCTCTGTATAACTTGCTCGATCTTATCCAGAACATGTGGTGTCAACAATGGGATCACATCAACAGCTTTCATGTTTTCTTGAATCTATGTACAAAAAAAAAAGATCTTAGTGAAGTCTAGACTTAGACATTCCCTAGGTTCCAGAGAATGTGGTTTTGGAAGAACTGACCTGTGACTCCCTTGTGGCACCAGTGATAACAGATGAAACATTAGGATTTGAAGCACACCATGCTATTGCAAGCTGAGCCAAGGTAACACCTAGCTCATCTGCAATAGGCTTGAGACCACTAACTTTCCTCAGAACATCATCCACAAGTGATCTATTGGCAAGGTTCTGCAAAATAAGTTAAACCACTAACATGTATTAGATGCAGAAGTAGAGAGAGTGTTTTAAAACAGTTATGACCAAGAGTAATAATACTTTGTAGTTCTCCAATGCAAATCGGCTGTCTGCTGGAATAGCTCCCTTGTTGTATTTACCAGTGAGAACACCGGATGCAAGTGGGCTCCAAGTAGTTAGACCAATGCCATGGTTTGTGTACAGAGGAAGAAACTCTGACTCAACCTACATTTACATAAGACTCTCAACAACTTCAGCTACATAACATAGACTTAAATACACAAAGTAAAGTAAAGTGTAAGATAACAAACTTTGTGCCTAGCGAACATGTTGTACTCAGGCTGTTCAACGATTGGACCAACCAAATCCAACCTCTGAGCAGCTCCCCATGCCTCTGTGATTTGTTGAGCCGACCATTCACTTGTCCCCCAGTAAAACGCCCAACCTTTATCAATCACATAGTTCATAGCTCTCACTGTCTCCTCTATAGGAGTTGAAGCATCCGGCCTGTGACAAATATTATTCATATATTACTACTAAGATCAATGCAAAAATTCCCACTTTCTGATCCTGTCCTAATCATCACACATCACAAACATATCAAGATAATATTTTTTTAAATACTGAAGCGTCTATTTCAAGATAAAGACCAAACCAAACACTTGAGAATTAAATGCAAGAGACAACATAAGACAAATCATTTCACATGAAAAAAAAAAAAAAGACTGAATCTTTATGCACCTGTGGCAATATAACACATCAACATAGTCCATATCAAGTCTTTTGAGAGAAGCTTTGGTTCCTTCAACGATATGTTTCCTCGACAAACCTTTGTCGTTAGGACCAGGACCACCCCAGAAGATCTTGGTGGAGACAACGATGTCGGATCTACGCCAACCAAGCTCACGAATCGCCTGGCCCATAATCTCCTCAGCTCGGCCATTAGCGTAAACCTCGGCGTTGTCGAAGAAATTGACTCCGTGATCACGACAACACTGAAGAATCGATTTGGCTTCTTTCACATCGAGCTGGTTGCCGAAAGTGACCCACGCTCCGAAAGAGAGTGTGCTCACTTTCAGACCTGATCTCCCCAAGTTCTTGTACTGCATCTTTTGTGGAAATCTAGACAAATCTGAAGAGTTGAAACAAGGGAAGGATCAGACAATAAGTAAGTACTTTATTACCAATAATATACAAGTGACACTTAAAGAAAAAAAGGTGCGATAAGATCCGGTTTGCGATCCGGTTTGGTTTAACTTATACACGTAAACCAATTTCGAATCAAGTTTCACAATCGAGTTTAGTATTTGAATAGATTTATATAATCTCCGGTAAGAATAATGTACAAAACAGAACTTTGTAAGAAATTGTTTATTGATTTGATATGGTATTTTCCGGTTTGAGGGTACTCCGGTTTAGTGTGAATTTTAAATCGTTGTCGTGTACTTAGAGACCAAACAAATTACGTGATCTCGTACTTCAAAAGAAAGGCGTGAGATAGCGTTCGTACTTTAATTAATAAAAGGTAAAAAAAAGTCTGAAAGGAGAAGATTTGTTGGCTCTTAATGGCCACAGGGTTCACATGTGGCCATGTGGTTGTGTTGTGACTTTAAGTCTAATCAGTAATATATATCTCCATCGTTTACTAATATTGGAGAGTTGTCTTGTAATGGGAGAGTGTTGGTGGCGTATACGAATTAAATCAAGTCACTGTCACGTAAAAATTGCTCAGCTCCTTTCGGTCGTTCATGTTCACACTGTGAGACAATGCACATTTTGGATTCTGTTTTTTTTTTCATGTGTTTTGGGTTTTGTTTCTATGTAGGCCACTTCATGGCCCATAGTTATCTTACTTTCCAGATTTTGTTGTTAGCTCTTTCGCATGAGATGGTGGATTTTGCAAACAAGTTGGGCTGATAACAATAAAATCTTCTCTCTTTTTGTTTGACAAAAGGCCTGATCAAATCTTGAAATGATGCTTTTGGTTATATATTTTTTTGGAACGACATTTTTTTCAATTCTAAACTTGTAAAGTTTTATATTATCCAGCAATTGAACGTACTATATTCTACAAAATTGTTTTGTACGCTAGAGTATAGTATTTCAATATTTTACTAGGTTACCAAACAAGCTATATAACTATTATGCTTAATTAAACTAGGGAGCTTTAGAAAATGTAAATATTAAAACAACTAATGTTTTGAGGTTCAAAGTTTATAATTATGAGTAGATATTAGGTAGAGTTTGTAATGAATTATAAAGTTTTTTTTAATGAATTAGGTAATGAATAGGTTGGGGAAACATAACTCATTTGATGGCATGTGAGTGTGGGGTTTTGCTTCGTTATCCATCTTAAAGAAAATTCCAGTTTATCGGCCACCAAGAAAGAAAGAAAACGAAGGCAAAGATCAAAAAGTTCGTCCAAATCTCCTACCAAGGGTTGACATTTGTTTCTTGAGTTTTTATATTCATATCCTCGTACGTTATCAACTACTATTGTCCGAGATAAATGAATTATTAGTCTACAGAATACAATCAAAAGAGTTTCATGATATTCTCCACGATATCTCAACTACTATAAGTATTCCATTCTGTTCCAAAACGTGCCAAAGTTTTGGTATAACTTTTGGCTGAGTTAGTCATATTTGTTGTCATTGCTAATTCCATCTACATACTTATAAAACCAACTAAAATTTTGATAAACCAAGAATCTTTGTGTTTCTTTCTTGTATAAAAATCTTGTCGTCTAGTTTATAATGAAAACAACAGATAGAGTAACAAACAAAAGAAAAAAGACGTCTCCTTCTCCTAGCACAGAACGATGACATTGAGTGACGTGTGGATCCCAGCTCCAACGATTCGATAATTAATATGTAACGTTTTGGGAGTGTCGGTGCTCCGGCTAATATAGTAGGTTAGCAACAAACGAAAAAATAAAAATAAGTCGAATATGGCTACGTGCATATATGGTATTCGATCATGAAGATGGCTCCTCGGTTGTTTGATTCAAGTTGATGAACAGCTACATGCAGTAAAGTCAAGAAGAGAAACATTTACATGCAATAAAGATATCGTAAATGGAGTGTGATGTTAAAATTCAGTTTTTACCTTCAACATGTTTTGGCTAATAAAGTGAAAAAAAAAACAAATTCAGCTACTTTACCTAAAAGTAAATGAAACTAGAGTAAATTTCCTCTACTTTACAAAAGTGGAGAACTTTACTCAAAAATTTTAAAATTTATCTCTTCTCTTTTCCAATTCATTTTTTCCACCATTTACTCTAATTACTAACCAATCACGCAAAAAAAACATTAACAAAAATATAAGAAAATTTCCAATGGAGAATTCTTATGACGGGATTCTTAACGAAATATAAAAACCCGTCTCTTAACTTTTAATTAAAAATTATTAAGAACTGGTTCTTAAATGTCTTATTTAATAATCGGTTCTAAGATTTTTTTAACTAAAAATTAAGAGACATGTTCTTATATTCCGATAAAAATTCTGCCGTAAAAATTTCTAAACGACTGGGATCCAATTTGACGCGCGAGTTTTGGCGTAACCAACCATGTCGCACCAACAAGATCTTTCTCTTTATTCATATACCTTTTTGCACTTTTACAAAAGTAATTTGAGCAGTAAAAGTGTAACAAAAGAAAGTGTCAATAATTACCAGTTATCACCAGTCCAACCTCTCCCATGATGAACACACATGGTTTACATCATATATTTATATATAGGAATATACTTTAAAATGATATCTATATTAATTTGTACAAAAGATATCTATATTTTTTTGCTAAACAAATATATCTATAATTGTTTAGAAGGAAAAGTTATATCATTGTTATTTTGTTTCAATTTGCTTTGAATTCGTTTTCACTACACAGTTTCCATTCTGCTTTAGTCGTTTTGGCCAAATTTATTGAGTGAGAACAGTTTTTTTTTGGTTAACGGATAGTGAGAACAGTTTGAAACTTCTTTGGATGGTTAGTCAACGACTCAACGCGTGTTCTTTAAGTTGTTCTACGTGAATTTTTCTTACTTTCCAAGCCGTGATTTACGCCTCCGAAAATCAAAGGATAGTACCCGCCAATTCAGCAAGAAACTATGACATAACTGGTTTCCGTCATATTCTGCTTAGTACGAAATGCAAGCATCAGTTAGAAGCCATTTAACTTCTACTTTGCTTCAGTCATATTCGAAGTTATTTAATTATCAAAGTTGCTAGATCAATAATTACTCGATTACCATCTCATTTTATATTCTTTTAAAATTCATAGTCATTTATATGAACTTATAACTACTCATAAGCTAATTATACTCGAGTATATACATTGACAGTATATATAATAGGGTGATGCAGTTTTAGCAAATTATTTGATTAATGAATGTTGTAACTTCTATTATAATTTTCATTATGGTTAGAATAACATCTAACTAAATTCTAATGAATATGGTTTTATTGTTAATCAGTCATCTAAATTTTGTGGAATCTAACGTACTCTCTGGTTAACTCAATAATAAGATTTTACATAATAATTGTTTGGTTTAAATCCCATCAATATACATTATCCCAAGTATTACAAATTCAATATAACTTGAGTTATGAAAAATTCTAACATATCGTTTGCTCAAAATGTATTTACATAAAAGGGGAAACGTTTGAGAAATATACTTACAAACCTACATTTCATCATATGATATTAAATTATGATGCTTTTTATATAAAGGATTACTAGGTGTTTTGCCCGCACATGCGGGCATAATTTTCGTACAATTTATTATTAGTCTATATTTTATTAATTCAAACTAATATAATAAGTTATGATTTATGTTAAAAAATTAATGATAAATGAAAACACTCACATAACAAAATATTTTTTTAAAAATGTGTTGCTTTAATTTAGTTTAATTATATTTTTTATCTTAATTTTTTATTTCTATAATAAAAATATATTTTCAAGATAACAATATAATACATAAAAAGTATCTTATTTTCTGAAAATATAATTTTTAATAAAAATTCATTTTTATTTTATAATAAATTTTATATGAAATTATTAAAAATATGACAAATAATCTAAATTATCTAAATCATGGAGAAATTAAAAATTAGATAATTCACTTAAATTTTATAAGAAAATATATGTTTAAGATAACAATCTAATACTTAAGAATTATCTACATTCGTTTTATTACTTAATAAATTATATATGAAATTATTAAAATATGATAAATAAGCAAAGTATAAAACCATGGAGAAGTTGATAAATCAGCATTGTTTTCTTTATATTTAGCTATTAATACTCATCCTCTTAGTAAGAAGGGGTAACCCAAGATAGCGGACTGGGAGAGATCCAGACTCAAAGGGAAATTGATCCATAATAGCCTCCTTATCCTCATCTTTAACTCCAGCAAGATAAAGGGTAGACTTCTCCAAACTTATATGAAGCCCTGAAATCATAGCAAACTCTCGGAAAACCATAAGAATACCCTCAATAGACGATTTCTTCCCATCAGAAAAAAACTAAAACATCATCAGCAAAACATATATGTGTCAGATTCAAATCTTTGCAGTAAGGGTGATAACCAATATGCTTCTCAGTAGCAGCTTTGTCCAGAAGTTTGGAGAGAACTTGCATGCAAATGACAAATAAGTAGGGGGAAAGAGCACATCCTTGACGTAATCCACGCTTACTATTAAAATACCCAGCCAATTCCCCATTCACTTGGATAGAAAATGAAGCTAACTCAATACACTTTTTAATCCAGATGATAAACTTCTCCGGGAACTTAAGAGCCGCTAAAACAGACAGCAAGAAGGGCCATTGCACTGAATCAAAAGCCTTAGAAACATCTATTTTCACAGCGCATCTCTCAGAAATATTATCTCTATGATAATTTTTGACCAGCTCCGAAGCCAAGAGAACATTTTCCATAATTAATCGATCTTTAACAAAAGCAGACTGGTTTAATGAGATAAACAAAGGAAGAATACCTTTCATGCGGTTAGCCAAGATTTTCGATATCACCTTATAAATGACGTTGCAACAGGAGATAGGACGATAATCCTTCATTGATATCACATCATTCTTCTTAGGTATAAGCGCCAGAATAGTGGAATTAATTCCCTTCGGTAAAAAACCTTTATCAAAGAAGGCTCTAACCGCAGTAGTGAAATCTCTACCAACAATCTGCCAAGAAGCTTTAAAGAATTCACAAGTGTAACCGTCAGGGCCAGGAGACTTATCCGAACCCATAGAGAAAAGAACTTTCCTAATCTCCTCATCAGAAACTAATCGCATCAACTCACTTCTATCCTCCTCTGAACACTCATAATTAATCAGAGACTTGAGCTCTTCAACACTGGCTTCACGAAAATCAGCAGGCACATACGTTAAGAAATTATAGAAATGATCAACTGCTTCCTTCTTG